TGTTAGTTATATATATATACATGTATATTATTTATAATATATACTATATTACTATATATATATATATATATATATATATATATATATATATATATATATATATGCAAATATTAGTGTGGCATGCTGTTTACTTCTGTTTTATTTGATTTGCCACTAGTGAAGGGAAGTTTTCCTTAACCAGAGATCTGCCTGAAGGAGATTATCTCTTCAAGTTTGTTGTGGATGGAAACTGGATTGTGGATGTCAATCAGGTAAGGGATTTTGTTGAAGCACTACTTGTTTGGTGGATAGTTCTTAAATACATATAATATGGAAAATAAATTTATTATAAACTGTCCTTTGAGCTTTATTAAAGAAATAGGTCATAGCAAGCTGGTTTTCTGTATACAAGGCTTTGCAAACCTGTTTACTTGTCCAGGTTGTTTGAAACAGGACTTGTAAACATTAAATTTACCTACTTGTAAGTTGAACTAGTACTTTTCTGGAAAATAACATTCCAAAAACTGGTCTGACTTTTCTGCATTGGTAATTTGTTACAAGTTTAGTTTTCTGAGATAAAATTAATAATTAATTTGAAGTATCATACTTGTAAGCAGTTTGAATACACTAACATTATATTAAAGAACTTTTCTTGGTGGTGCATGTACAGTTATGTAAAGTTTCTTTTCTTAAAGTGATATTCAGTCTGAAAAAGAGGGGTATATTTTGTTTATTTCTTTGTTTTGAAACCTAAAAATTAAGGTACTTGTTTGTTTTAATTTTTGCTTATTTTCAGTCACAGATTCTTTAAAGCTTCTAAGACTATGATCAAGGTGAAAGCCAAACAATGTATTATAATTTGTTTGCTAGCCATAAGTCAAAGTATATTAAATGTTTTGCTTTATTAGATGGTGCATTGTTGAACAAGTGAGTCTAATAGCTACTATGCATTAATTAGAATAATGCACTGAAGAGACAGTTGTAATGGAATACATTAAAAGAAATGGAGATGAAGTGTGTTATTTTGGCTTGAATGGACTGTGATCGACTTATTTTCTCGTTGTACTGAATTGTTGAAACTTCCTCACATAAATATTGTGGCTTCCTAGGCTAAACTTTACACTTTTTTAATTTAACTATTATAAATTTAAGCAACTATAAAGTTTAGAATTTTACACCACTGTCTTCTCATATGTCTAGCAGATAACCTTTTTTTTTTTGTCACTGCACTAATGTACATATAAGGTAGGACTCTGAAGTGGATATTCTTATTTTGATTGGCTAGGCTGCCAGTTATTCTCATAAAATAAATCAAGTTCTGATATATTAATTGTGCATTTCGTACAGATATAGTGACAATATGTTTCTCATTTGTTTTTTTCTCTAACGAAAACAATGTTGTTAATTGAGGACTAGTATAATTGTTTCATTGCTGTACAGTTCTGTCTCAGATACTCACCTAACTAGTCAGGTCATTGAACTTTAGCTTATTGCAGCATCTCATTTGTAAATTTAGGTGCAGAAAGGTACCAGAACATCATATTAATATTGTAGTTGAATTGTATAGTAAGATCTGTGAAAATTGCAGTACCAATTGATTTTAGATTAAATGTTTAACAATACTGTTTCTTCATGATCTTAGAAAAATCTTACTTTTATATTCAGTAATAAATGAAGGTTAATATAAGTTCAGAATTGTTAAAGGAAAAAGTTGTAATTATTTGTTTCTTAATGATTGTGTTGAACTTTTTCTATGAAATTAACTCCACTGAGCAGTAAAGTTGTACCAAAGCATATCCCAATAAATTGCTGTTTTTTCCATTCCATGTCTCTATCAAATGTTATTTTGTTGGTTTTTTTGTGAAAATAAAATTTGTCATGTATGTGTTTACTGTTTGCTAGTTTTTTCTTCAGTTTTACAGTATAAATCCTCTATCTCCTACAAGTGTTGTTTTTAGACCAGTACATATATGCAACATTAGTCTTGAACTTGTACTGCAAAGCTTAAACAGTATATTTGTGACATCATAAAATAATTTTTGTTCAATTAATAAAAAAAAATCATGAGTTAACTAGTTGACCAGAATTCAATAATACAACTACAATCATGCATCTTTTTGATATGTGCAGCATTTTTGTTGTAGTTGTAAAGGCTAGTTTGATAAATAAAATGTTTTTGTTATCACAGACTTGGTTTTGCTGTTTTTAACAGGTCACCTTGTCACAACTGTCTGCAGGCAGTGAATGGTGATACAGATGTGGGACGTTGTGAGTTTGAGCACCCACATCTTGCTCTCTTAACTTATTTTATGTTTATTCTTTCTTTAACATGTGAGACAAGTGAACAGAGGTTAAGATCGGTAGTTGGTGTATCCTCACTGCTATAAGGTTCCTACTTCTGCAGTCACCTCCAAAAAGACAGAGCACATCTTATGTTCTACATTATAGCCTTTGTCCCAGTGATATTTTAAAGATATATTGTGTTTTTTGTTGTAGTCATTAAGACTAGTTTTTATAAATAAAATGTTTTTCATCACTATGGCTTTATATATATGCCACAATATTTGTACACAACAACTAGGAATTTGGATGGGTTCTAATTACTCATCTAATGTGGCAGATCTGTATCTTTTATTATGAACATTTATTCTTCTCACAATCACTAAGTCCAGATTAATATTGTTGTACTGGCCATTATGTAGATGATCTGATTTCTTTCAGAAATACGAGGTTTGAACAAAGATTTTTCTGTTTATCCTGTGCAACTGGATATGACCGATGAAACAACAGCAACTTGTTATTTTCTTGACCTAGATATTTCATTTACTATTTATGACAAAGGAAATGACTTCAAATAATATATATACTGTCTTTTATCTGTAAATAAATGTAATCCCTAATGGCTTTAGTAAAGGTATTTAGTTCACACTTTGAAAATATTTTTTAGCCTGTAACAAATCTGAAAACTTTTTATTTTGTGTTAAATTAATAGCTGAAATCCTCAAGTTTAGCAGCTACTTTCCTACTATAATCAGAATCTACAAATTATTTTTCAATAAATTTAAAATTGTACTAATTAAATGTTTATTCTCTACTGTATATGATTGTCATCTGCAAATACAGTTTTCCCACTCTTAAAATTAATACCTTTGATCTTTTGTCACCTTAACTGGCATTGGTTCACTATCAAGGATGGCAAGGACACCTTAATCAGGTGACTTTATCTCCCACATTAACCTCCTATAAATACTTTTAGTTCATTATAGTTTTGTTCTTCTCAAAATCTTATTTATTGTACTACCTTTGGCAGGAAAAAATGGTTCAGAAGAGACTGACTTTGAGGTGATTAAAGGATTCTTCAGTTTGCTCATACTTGCAAATGTTTGTCTTAAACTTAGAGATATTTGATTTATTTTGCGACAGCATAGTTACTTGATCTTTCTTTTCGTTATTTTAATATTTTGTTTTCAAGGAAGGAAACTGAGTCAATTTTGATTATGTATGGTTGGGTAACATAATCTTTTTACTTTATTTACTTATCTCATATTTTTTCTCTTTGATATTACTCTTTTAAATTTATCTGATCTCTTTAGGTTTACTTGAGTTGTATAATCTTTCACCGATATTATTACTGGGCAACTACTTGTCTATAATTGTTTACAAACAGTGAATGTATAGTTAGATTCTGGACATTATGGCTACAAGCACCTTTAGTAAGTTTAATTTTGTTCATCTTTTGTTGCATGCTATTTCAGTCCTAGTACACTTATTACTTCATTGGTTTTCAATATTTACCTTTGTATGTATTTTATCCTTGTACATATTTTGATCAGATTTAATATGGAAATACAAAAGAAATATTTACCACTTGTTCACATTTTAATGAAATTGATTTGCAAATTTCATAATCCTTGATGATTAAGAAGTTCTTCAAGTGTTTTTTGTGGCACTAAAATGCTTAATTTTCTAAAAATAAAGTACTTGTGTGCTTAAAGGGGGTGACTTGCTGGAGTCCAGGCATTTTGATGTTGAGCCATAAAAAAAAAAAAATCCACAAGTCATTGTTGGTTATATAATAATGATTGATAATTTATATATTGTCATTTGTAATATGATGCAGAAATTTTCTAAACATGCTACTTTTGTTTTTTGTGTAGCCTACAATTCATTCAGAAGAGCATGGACAAGTTAACATAATGAATGTCCAGCCTTCCATTGTCCAGGAATGATGGTATAGTGATCACATGGATGTAACTTGTACTGATTAGAAGGAATACACAGTTTTTTACAGATTTGGAAATTGTAAAGCTATGGCTCTCAGAATTACCTATTCCAGTTTTTGATATGTAAACTAACCTACTTGGCCAGCTTTGGAACAAGTGTATCTTGTCAGTTGTAATCATGACAGTTTGGTTTCTGAAGAGCCCTTTTTTGAAATAACTAAAATGCATAGTGAAAGTGAAGTGAAATATTTTAAGTTAATTATTATAATGCCATTATCTTACTGGTTGCCTGGACACTGATTTACATATTGTATAAAAGAAGTATTAAACTAATATTTTGTCAAACCTTTTCAAAGTAAACAAAAGTAACTCGGATTCTAATCATTTTTTTCCTAAACTTGTTTTGTAAGTGTATTTCTTGATACTTTAATAAATATTTTTTTTACATTTTCTTGTTTTACTAATTCTTGTACAATTACATACTACTTAAATTTTATATTGTGTAAATGTGTTTTCTTGGATAAACATTAATTCAGTTAAACAAAGTTCTTAATTTCACTCTTCTTCCTTATATATATAAATTCAAAGGTTTGAATCCATCTGTTTTATGGTTGTGTACTAAACATGAACATCCATAATATTTGCTATTTCTGAAGTTTTGTATTCTTTTTCTTTCTTTGATTGAGGTTCCTATTTTAACAGTTGTTGAATTTGAGGTTCATTGTAAATTTTTCATTTTTTTTTCTATATTTCAGTGGAAATTAAGTAACAATTTTTTAGAAAAACACATCAAATTCAACATTGAAAGCAAATATTTATGATTTTCTTCTACTTCATCAAAAACACTGGAAAAACGAAGGTAGCAGTACAATAAAATTCTGAACTATAATGATTTTTTATCAATTTAAGAATAAAAAAACTTAAATGCAACAGCTTTATGTGATTGAATTTTAACTGTTGCTTGCCATATCCCTGATGTGATTAATACTTTAAATCTGATTTCTATTTTACAAATTCATAAATTGATGTTATACATAACATACACTGATAAAACTCTAGTGTAAGTGCACTACTACATTTTATTGAGTTGTATTTTCAAATAATAATTTTCAAAACTCCATGGTTATAAGTTGTCTGAGATATCATTGTTTACTAAACAAAAACAATGAAGAGTATATTTGAAACTCGTTATTAACACTTATAATAAAAATAAAAGTACAATTGTTTGAAATAGCTCTGCTTTTAAATTTTGAGATTCAACTTTGGGTACATGCAAAGGATTTCCATAGAATTCATAAATGATAACATGATTCCCAAATTATTTATTTTTATATTTAAATGATTTTCATTGATAGTTTTTTAATTATTTTTTCGTACAATGTAACTAAATTTAGAAAATACACCAGTCAAATCTTTGTAGCACAAAACATGGCTTTGGGACCACCCTTTAATTGAACCATTTTGTCTTGCTAAGTAAATAGGTTTTTATTAAATTACAAAAGTAAAGCAGTAAAAATTTTAAAAATTACAAATTTTTGTATTTATATAGTACGTTTGAAAATTATTTTTCATACTTGCATTTCTAGTTCAGGCTAATAGAAAATTAAGGAAATTTTAAGGTGCTAACATGCTCATTAAGCCTAAAAAGAAATGATTAAAGATGTGTTAACATGTTAATATTCAGGTGTAGACTGCAAGATGTGGTATTTATAGTAGTTTTAATGGAATAATGTGTTGGCTTACTCAAATAGATTAATTACTAAAGCAGCTGTCAGGATTTAACGTGCTTGCTCAGACTACAAAAAGTGATATGTAAAACCAATTTTAACATTCTGATTTAAACTGATAACTAAAACAGTCTTGATATATCATTGATTTATTTATTTTGTACCAATAAAATGTTGTTACTTGTGATTTTAAATACTTAACATTTTGGACTAGTTACATATATTCTCGTTTTCCAGAAATAAACTGAGTATGTATACGGAAGTTTTAATTAGCAGTTTCATTTGTATTAATGCAGTTAAATAAATTCATTTAACAAAAGAAAAATGGTGCATAATTTTTTTTTTGTTTGAGTCAACAGAATGAAGGTTGGGTTCTTTATTATACTATTGAACAACAGTAACATTCAATATTTTTTGACTCCATGTGTACAGTACTTATTTTAGTGGAGTGAAAATAGGGATTTGTAGCTTGAGAAAATGTAAGTTTTTTATGTCCATTTATGGAAAATAAAGTTTTTAGCTACATGTGTATATGCATTCAGTTGAATGTTACATGTTTTTTAACAGTTCGCTACTGCATTGGCTTTTTTCTACCCAACCCCTACGCTGAACTTCATAATAAATAAATGTACACATATACAACAATAATATGAACATATGGGGTAAATTTTGATTTTTGTCTACAACCATGAAATCACTTATTTTGCTTATTATCAATGTTTAGGTGGTCTTAACTATTGAAAAGGTAAATTTTGAGTGTTGTTTCAAGAATAAGTCTGCTTTTTAAGGTGATTCTTTCTATTAGAGTTTTGAGCAAAGTCCCGTGCCATTGAGTTTAAGTGTTCTGCCTCTTCCTTTCTCATTTTCAAATTTACCTGTTTCGGTCTCACTATCTAGTGTGTACTTGACAGTGTTTGGGGAGTATTTCAACATCACATAAAGGTTTTATGCAAATTCTCTACTCTACTGACAATTATCTATGCTTTTTGGGCTGTGGCATGACAACAAAACTTAATATATAGTATTAAACACTGTTTTTATCAAGGATTATTTGTGGAGTGCTATTAAATTGGTTTTTTCTAGCATAGTACCATATGCTAGCTCCTTTCCATATAGTTAAGACACTACATGGGGTACCATGATAGTTATTTCAGATAGTTGCTTAAAGTACAATATAAATGTTGCAAGAGTTATGAAAATCTTTGATATAACCAAATCTAAGATTTTAAACCAAGTGATACAGGACAAAATCTATGGCTACAACCAAATTCGAATCATGTAAACTACATATAGAACTGACAAAATTATTCTGATGAATTGATTAGGAAACTACAGATATAATAAACTGGCAAAACACTGAAACTGAAAAAGACAAAAGAAGAAACTTGAAAACAAACTTATTTCGCTTATACAAAAAAGACCCACAAATGCTATGGGTCTCTTGTACATCCCCCCCCCCCCCCACCACACACAATCAGTCTTACTTGAGCCTGTGCTAATTTATTTTACCGCTACTTACAAAAAAAATCTACTCGAAGGTGAAGAAATCATTATTGAAACAGATAAATGATTTAAATACAGTTCAGCAAACAACAGTTACCACACGAGGTTTGCAACACCTAAAAAAATTTAGTTTCCAACCATAATGTAACCCAATTATAAAACAGTGGTTAGAAGGACTTGCAAAACAATGAAGACCAAGGTGCCAAAATTGTAAATTTAAACAAACAGCACAATGATAGTGCAAATAAACTGTTATGTAACAATTCATTTTCCAAACGGAAATCTGGCTAAAAACCAAACACATTTTGACACAACTTGAATCTGAAATCAAGAGAATTAAAAGGTTAACAGAAACAAAGTTGTTGAACCTTGTCTTTCTAATACTATTTCCCTCGGATTCTATGCTCTTCCCATACTACATAAAGAATGTTTACCCTTTAGACCAGTTGCAGTTAGCAACAATAGCACAACATCTCCTTCAGCCAACTATTTGGTAAACCACTTGTGGAGTTAATTAAATATACTGCAAAAAACTCCAAAGAGTTACTAAGTTAACAAAACAAAAAGTAAAAGAAAAATTTGACATAAAAAATGTATTTACCAAAGTTCCAATATATGAAGCCCTAAAAGCATTATCTAAAAGATTAGAGGTAATTTTTAGCCTATTACTAGAGATGAATGTATACACGTAGTTAGAGTATGTGTAAGAACTCATATTTCCAGTTCAATATAGTTTTTTCAACAGCCTTTAATCATCTGTGCATTATTAGGATGATGTTATTATAGACTAGCAGAGACCCGCAAAACATTTGTGGCCAAATTAGTATCTTTATCGCAACAATACATCTTTAAATATAGGATTTCTGGAGTAATACAAAAGAATTTTAATTGAAGACACTGAAATCTATAAGTTCACTCGTCTTAGTCCTAAAATTATTTAATCCTTTATTAAGTACAGCCTATATTCAATAAAGAAATAAATTAACACTATCATTTGTGTATGATTTTTGCTTTAGTTCAGTTAAGGCTAAACCTTACCGCACTAACTGCTATCAATAAATAATCCTCTAATATTATTCTACGATGTAATGTTAGACCTTTTAAAAAACTTTGATAAGCTTTTAATTTGTTGTATAAAATGTCTACTAAAGTATATTTACGTCCTTTCTGGCATAATTTGACGATTTAACAAAGATATATTTTCAAATTGTGAAAAATGTGCATTTTTTTGTATATTTTAGTCCACAAATATCATTAATTTTCAATCACTTGTAGACTATTCACTTCTAATTGACAGGAAGCCAAACTACTTAATTTACATAATAAGTTGCTATATCATTGTGTGACCAAGAGACAGACAGATACACAATCTGTTTTATAATATTACTATTAGATTTATATATATATTGACCACACAAATTATCAGTGAGAATACTTTGAAAAAAAAATCCCCAAGATTCCATGGCAGCTTAAAAGCCTTTTAATTGTATATTATAATGAAAAACATGTTGCAACTCATGATTTTGACACTCATATTATTGTAGTGATAGGGTTATCTTGAATACCCACAGTATGTATTACTCACACTTTTCTTTCTACACAATGTAAGCAAAAACATTAAATTCTGGACTGTATGCCTCACAAAAATGTATCAAAATATTGAAAACATTATACTAACAAATTCTATATTTAGCTTTATTACTTCTGAAGTATCAAGGTACCATACAGCACAGAAGTAGCTGTCAATAGTGCACTTCAAATATTCTTGTAAATAATGATATTGTAACAGAAAGTTTAATCTTACCAGTGTTATAAAATTTTTATCAGTTTTACACAGAAAATCACATTTGTGCACAAAACAATATTTTTAAACTTACACAAGTGAACAAATTAATATTTTTAAACTTACACAAGTGAACAAATTCTATAGAAATTTGTTAACCATGTAAAAAATTACAAGTTATCGAAAAAAAGACCAAATACCAGGACAAATAATATCTCATTACTAACCTACAACTGTCAATACAAAACAAGGATGAGAAGTGATTTGACACTGATTTTCCATGCAAGTAGCATACACAAATAGAAAGTTGACTAGGACTAGAACTGGACAACTTGTAAATAGTAAACACAAAACCATAGTGACTTCAAGTATTTTATAGCAAAAAATACAAAGTAAACAAAAACACATGGAAAAATTTTCTGAATAAGTAAGAAAACAAACTTGGTAATATCAAATGATCTTTATTTTAATTTTATAGCCAGTTTAAGAAGTGTTTCTTACACCAGATATAAACTATGTGTATACATACACACACATACACTATGAAGTGTTTCATTTTCATACTTTTAGGAATTACAATACAATAATGAAAGAAAAAAAAAAAAAGGTTTGAAAGTAAAAAATAAATAAATAACGAAAATATAAATGAGTTAATAAAGACTAAATGAATCCCAAAAATTAAACTTTTGCAAATGTATTCTGAATACATTTTTAGAAATTATAAAATATAATGATTAAAACAGTAAAATTTTATAAATTATGCTACAACGTTAATCTGAACAACTATGCACAAAAGAAAAGACTCTGGGCATTTATGTGATTTATCCAGAAAAACATTCACACATTATCATTCTAGTCTATTAATTGAAGATAAATTAGCAATCTTTTTTCTCTTTCCAACCTTTTCTAAAAGAATACTGCTATAAAATATTAACTTTTCCGATAACAAATAATGCAGCAGAAGCGCAGAAGTAGGATATTACAAAAGTAAACGCATTCTGTATTATTTACTTCTATAAAGATCTTAAAACCTTTAGATTGTAACTGTAAATTCGAAGAATAGCTATACTTTCAAGTTTTTTGAAACAAAATCGAACTGATAATGCATGGTCGGGTTAGTTATGAAAAATTAGAAATGTCAGCAATTAAATAGAAAAATTATTAGTTTCAGTTTTGGGTACATTAAGAATTAAAAGAAGTGCATTGTTTGCACTTGATATTATAGGATGTTTTGTTTGAACAAAGGTTTATGTTTGTTCAGAAATAAACAAACAATTTATTGGATTAACCTTAACTAAACTTAGCATTTCATAAAGCTCTAGGCCAAAGATTATTAGAATTTTAAATTTAGGATTTTTTCAAGTTATTTTGACAGTATTTTTTATTGCTGAAAATCGATAGTAACTGTTCTGAGCTTACCAACTTAACTGTTTATGTCTCCTTGTAATAATTTTCAGGTAACAATATCAATAACATAGCCGTATCCTTACACTACTAAGCTTACACAGTTTGGCAAGGTTACTAGGAAGCATTATCCCATCTCTGAGAATTGTATGGAAAGTCTTCCTACAAAAGACCAACAATTACTTCCAAAGGGTTTAGAACCTGAACTAAGATAGACTTTAGGCATAAGTACCAGCCAACCATGTTAATGGGCCAGTGCAAAAAATTCGAAACACATTTTTAACACAAAATTCACTTAATGTACGAGTGAAAAATTTTCCAGGTAATTTCTTGTAAATCATAATTTTTTAGCTGATATTTCAGAACTACTTTCTTGTTAAGATTTTATATAATTTTATTATTATGCTACAAAAGAAGAGTTTAACCCCTAACTGAATGTTTTAAGTATATAAAGAGTTTGAAGAACCAATTACCATGTGAGGTACACTGTATGTGAACCCAAATTTAGCTATAAAACTGAAGGTTGACTAAACACATAATATTCATCACCTCTTCACATGAATAATGGTGATAACAAACTAGAGAATGTTTAAAAACAAGGGATCAGCAAGTTATCAAAAGTTTTAAATTTGTCAATTTCATATTGGAGATAATCATAATCTGAGACTCATGAAAAGTGGAATAGATGAAATCAAATCACTGTTCTGAATCCACAACTAGAGCTGGGCAATTAGTTGCATTTTCTTATTGATAAGTACAGTGTTCCTCAAACAATGGTACATACAAGCAAAAAATAAAGAAGGATGGCAAAAAGTGCTGCTAATAAGCTGCCTTTCCTTTACTCAGCGGTCCAAAATTAGCAGCAGTGGAAGATAGCCATAATAGCTTTGTGATATAAAATACAGAGTGAGAAATTGGGTGGCAATTATTTTGGATAGTTGGAATAATCAAAAATAGTATTAATTGAAACTTTAATTTTCATTAGTTGGTTATTTTCATAATAAACAATTTAATTGTAATCTAAATTAATTGATTGTTGGAATAATTGAAAACAGTAATAATTAGAAACACCAATTTAAATTACTTCATGCTCATAGGTAATCGATTAAATCGCTTAGCTCTATATGGTAGAGAACAATTAAAACACAAACAAAGTATTTTCAATGAACATGATTTTCATTTGTTCTTACAAAATCATAAGCTAAAACACAAATGTTCATTGAAAAACTCATATAAAGAGTACAAAACAGACACATAAGTACATATCAACATTCTGTATTTGACAACAGATACAGATCTAACTTCAACTTCTTAACATTTGTTAAAATAGGTGTAAACAAGAAATGCACAAATTTTTGACTATCAGAAAACTGAAAACTCATAGTTAAGGTCTAACAGTTCAATCAATATTATCTCAAAAACCTGTACTTCTTAAGTTTTTAAACTTCTTAGAAATCTCAATCATGTTATAGAAACTCCAACCATTTAAAAATTTACAGTTTATGATGCTCACTGAAGTCTACACAATGATAATTACAGGTAAACAACTGTGACACACAGTGTGTTATAATTAAAGATCCTGTTTATTAAAAATTGCATTGTTTATTTTAACAGACATAAGTGTTGTAGAGTGTAAAGGTAAAGAATTGAAAACAAAATATACTTTTTTTGCATATAAAACAAGATATACGACAGTAAAATATCGACGTTTCCACCAGTTATTCTCTACTGCTTCATCAATAATGAAGTCTTTAGTCTTCAACAGTCCTTACCAGTTATCAAGAAAGTCGAAACCACTTTTAGGAATAAACTGAGGAAGAAAATACTAAAACTAAAATATATGGTAAAGCACCATCTCTTAAACATTTGATAGAAAATCACTAAAACAAACAGAAAAAATTATAATATATATTGTGTTAAGGATAAGAAAAAAAATTACTTGGATCAGTTGAGTTTGTAAATTATCAACTATTGAACAAATAAAACTAATAGGTTTATAACGTATTATGAGAAACTGTAAAAAAAAAAAAAAATATTTGAAAATTTTTAATCACTAAAAAACCTTAATATCAAGTCACCATCCTTCAGTGTTCTAATTGCTTTATCACAAATCTAAGCTCTCCAAAGTAAATTAATTTTACATACAAACTTAAGATGTCTTATTTAAAACTGGTATAGTATCATTCATACTAATAGAATCATAGTAATTAAACAGTGCATATTATAATAAGTTTAACTTAATACTTCTCCTCTTAACAATCTATATACACATGTAGTGAATGGTCTTAATATTTTTAAGTCACTGGACCCTCCCTTCTTTAGATGGATACGGATAAATGCATTACGTGTACTGTTAACAAACATTTCACTATGCAAATATTAGGTTGTCAAGAAATTAATGTTGCTTTTTTAGATGAAAAAAACCAGAACAAGTTATATATCAAAACAAAACATTTATTAAATCAAATAGTCTCCATTCTTATTGATGACACTTTTCCATATTACAATCAATCTTACATCTTACAAACTAATCTGATGGTGCCATATCTGGAAAATATGGTGGGTGGGGGAGAACTTCCCAAACCAATTCCATAATCTTGTGTTGCGTCAAACGTGCCACATGTGGACATGCATTGTCATGCAGAACACCTTTCCAATTGAGGAGTGAATGGCATTTCTGATTAATGGCTTGATTTAAATGTTTCAGTTGCTGACTATAGATCTCTGCATTGACAGTTTGCTGCAGTCTGAGGAGTTTGAAATGAATTACTCCTCTGATGTCCCACCAAATGCAAAGCTTCACTTTTTAAGGCTAAAGTCACCTGAATGAAATTTGCTGAACCATCGTTGACACTTACGAAAGTTCAAAACATTTCCAAAAACTTCTTTGATATTATTTGTGGTGACAGAGGTATTATTTCCCTTCTTGTATTCAAACAGAATTACATGCCAAATGTGTTTCTCCTTGTGTACCATCACTACAGGGGATTAGAGTACACTAAACTTTACACATTATAGAGGCTACATTAATGTGACGTTTAGGCGGTTCTTTTAACTATTATACGTGATGTATGTTTTTTGGGGGGTGGTTAATGAAAGTGTTCCAAAACACAACACTAATTTCTTGACAACCTAATGAAATCTATGGAGATATACTGAACTTTATTAAAGAATGGTATCATATATACATGCGTGTGTGTATTTAAACGTTTATAAACTTGACTATTTGTGCATTTTTTATCAAATTGTATCCACAATGCCAGCATATTTAGTGTTACAAAAATTGATTTCTTTGCATTTCCATTTACAACAACAACTGCTCTTTCTTCCCTAACCAAAGTGTTGTTACAATATGCATGTACTGTCTCATATATAAAACTTCACAGAACAATGCAAAGTTTTTTTCAGTGTTCTCCATTATCACTTGATTGAACAATATATTTGCATAAATATTGTCTTCAATGGTTCCTTTGTAAATAAGAAAATATCATTAGCCAATTACATATTTTTCATATTTTAAACTTCAGGATGCAAAGTGTGTTTGTAACTGGTAATTTTTAACTGTTGTAAGGTAACACTTTCAACATATACAAACATGCTGTAATATAACATATCAGGTATTGACCAGCCAAGAACCACAAGTCTGACTTGCAAAAAATCTCCCTAGCTTAACTTTGTTGATTGAAAAGAATGTAAACTTAGGAAGCCATATATTATTCTAGGTTGAGAAAAGTCTTTGGTGAAGTAATTTGTTTATACCCCAGTGTGTATCCTCATTTATTATGAAATACGTAATTGATGTTGACTAGCTTTACAAGTCCTAGGAGTAAATTTAATTTTATCATTCAGTGTTTCATACATCTTTTCAAGTTTTTGTTGTTTTTTTATATCAAAGCCACATCAGGCTATCTGCTGTGTCCACCATAGGAATTTGAACCCCTGATTGTAGTGTTGTAAATCCATAGACTTACTGCTGTCCCACCTTTTCAAAAGAAATTATTAAAAAAAAAAAGAGATACTGTACCTGTGATGGGCTAGATAAATCAGATCTTGAGATATATTCTGCATTCACGTCTAAATCAACATCATCACTAATTTCTTCCAAGTCCTTTGCATTTTCCTCAAACTTGTAATCTGGTTTTTGTTCAAGTTCAGTTGGTGGTTCTACAGTTTCTGGTTCTTTCTCAAAAGTAAGAGTTTCTTTGGAGCTACTTACTGAAACATTACAATCATGTTGGATCTTGTCCGTAATCAAGACAGGCATCTGCAAGGAGGTAGACGAGCTTTCACCAGGTGGCAGAGATTTCTTCCTGGTATTCTTTGGTGTCAAAGAATCCAAGTCAGAACTATCAAATCTTTCTGGTTCAGAATCAACAGTGATACATCTATTATTTTTCTCCAGATCAAGGGTTTTAATACTATGCTGCTTTTTCCTTAAAGATGTAGGTGTATCGTTTACGGCAAACAATCGTAGATCCAACTGACTCTAAAATAAAAACAATATATATAAGCTATCTTCCAAGCGGAAGTTTGAGGAAATTACAGTGCAACCCTCCTCTTTTCAGTAAAGACTGATAATTGTGCAAATAATCTATAAAACATTATTACAAAACCTTCAATTAACCAAAACTACACTTTCAATAGCAACAGATTTACAATTTATAAATTAGTTTCTCAGAAGTTTTATTGTGCATTATAATAGCTCAATGTATGTGTGAAACTACTTAAAGACAGAAAAATATGAGACATGGATACCTCTTCTCAATTAAAGTTTCCTTTTAAGAACTAAAATTATCTATGCAGTAAAATTAGAATGATTTCAATAAAAACCATAAAGATGCTAAAGTTTCTGGAGTTACAAAGATTATACATATTAATAATAGCTTCATTTCCCATATAACTTTTGATACATAGTTTCTGTGCAACATTAAAAATTCCCATGTAGTAATTCTTATATTAAAATGTGAGGAATATGTGTGCGCGTGTGTGTAATAAAATTTCTAAGGCTTCAATAATCACAAAAATGGTATTTTTTAGTAACGAGTAAGTGGCAGAATATGTTCATTTTGTTTAGATACCATCCATAAAAAGCTGACCTGCTACATTAAAATTTAGTGACAGGCAATTCTTACAATAACATAGCAAAGAACAATATTTTACATAAACAGATTAGGTAAAATAGTACATTACGAATATCAAGAAAATTATATATACACTGTACAGATAAGAAACTTAAATGTTTCCAACATGTATGCAACACAAACTCATGTAGCATGTACCTCTTTATATAATCAATGGGCACTAAGGCATTTAGTACAAGGACTAAGTTGCTTTATTATAAAATACAAAAAAAAAAATTATAGACTCTCATCTGGAGAAGGGAAAGAGCAAATAATTAGAAAGTCTACAAACAGTTCTTTTTTATGAGGAGAATTCCAAAGGAAACAAGGCTTTATTTCTAAAAACCAACCACATCAGATGACAATAACAAAACTGAAACTCAAATGGTACTGACAGGGGCGGATTGGACTGCCGGGACACCGGGCAAAATCCCGTTGGGCCAGTGAAGTGTTTTAGGCTCGCAAACTGCCCTTGGGAACTGAAGATGTGGGCAACCAAATCTGAATGTCTGAAACTGCTGTATATGCAGATTGTTTTTAAGAAAAACAAGATAACTGGTGTCACTGAATGCTGGGCTAGGATTACAATGTGTTGTTCAGAACCAAGATCATCACTCTACAGTTGCTATTTTATGATTATATTGCACTCTACCTATAACATCTCTAGCATTATACAAATTTTGAAAAACTGGCAAGACTATTGACTTCAAATTAATCAAAGTATATAGCAAAGAAAATTCTGTTTCCCTCTAAACACCACTTCCCTCTTACATTTAGAATATCCATATAGATATAGTCCTTTCTGCCTGTTTAAGCTTCACTAAAAAGCCTGTTAAATTACACACACAAACCAATATTGTACATATTTTTTAGGTAAAAAAAATACAAATCATATGAAAAATAATGCATTTACTTTTGTTTTATTGCCTTTGTGTCAACTGAATACTTTTCATCATAGATTACTGTTCAAACTTAAAATCACAGGCTGAAAAAGTTATTGTTTATTTGAGGCATTATGTGATACGGTTTGAAATTATTCTTTGCAGTTTTAAGCATTTTGGGGATTAGTGTCTATTACTCAGTTTAGCATCAAAAACTAAAGAATGAGCTCTTAATTGTTTAATCACTTTAGTAGACTTTCACTTCTGGTTTCAATGCCTCAGAGACAACTAGTCTTACAAGTTAACACAATAATTTTGAAAATCACAATTTGCAAATGTCAGAATGAGGAATTGTTTATTTGAAAATGAAGTCCTGGTAGAACAGTCAATGGAGAATGGGAATTAAAGCAGAGATGCAACCTGCAAACCCACATTACAACAGATTTTTCAACATTCTGATCTTTCGTATTACTTAAAAAAAACATTATTTGTTATAATGAGCAGGACAATGGGAGCTCTGATAGTTCAAATGATAGAGCACGGACTTCAGAGTGTTGGTGTGAAGTGATACTGTAATGCCAACATAACATGGTAATATATTTTCCCTAACAGAACTTGAACTTTAAGTCTCACAAGTGTCTCAGAGCTACCAAAACACTTTCTATCAAAGTCTAAGCACTGTACAATGTGCCTAATGAAAGGTTTTGCTATAATTACACATGTAAAAACTGAAAAACAGGAATATCCTACTAACATACTTTGGACATAAAATCTTTATAAATAATTTTAGTTTAAAGGAATAACCTTATGCTTTAATTAATTTCAGTAACATGTTAAATTTGAAATTTTAGTTTCATTTTTACACAAACATGAAATACCAAAAAATGCATTATACATCAGAGGTACAATATGTTTAGAATTTGTTGGAAAACAGCTGCACATGATGTAAAGTTTTGTTTACCTGGGTTTCCCACATGAATGGAGCAGAATGTTCATCTCTCCATGTACATCCCTACAACAAAAGGAAATCAATAATCTTAGCTCATACTAAATGATAAAAATGAAAATCATTAAACCATTAAAATTAACCTTAATTTTTAATGCTATGAAGACCAGCTGTATCATTTTCAAAGCTAACAGAATGTGGAAAAATATATATAATACAATAAGGAGTTTAGCTTTTTAAAAAACTTTCAATATCATGATGAAACCAGTACAAGCTAGTTTATTAAAACATATACAACAAAACACCTAATTCAACTTCTACAACAAAGTCTGATTTATACAAAATGTAATCCATTTTACTAATGAATATTCTTTGTGCCTTGATTTTAAATAATTCAAAGTAAAAAGTAAGTGTAACTTTGTAACCTTTAAAAAAAATGGCATGTGACTTAGAAAAACAATTATACAGTAGGAAACCTTTTGCATGTTTCAACTTAAAACAAACTTACAGAGTAGGATCATTTTTTTATTTCACATAATATATTATCATAATCAAATCAACAGAACACACATTGCTAAGATGTAAAAGTGGTTATTCAGTAAATCACTTCATGAAAATAAAAACTATGTTCAAAATTACATGTCAACATTACACTGTATATTTGAGTAGTCTAACACAAGCCAAGTTTCTAGTATTATAAACTTATTATGTAAATGGTTATATTTTGTTAATAAATTTAGTTTTGAATTTGATTCTCAATGAGTAACATGCTTCATTCATTTTATTTATATGTTTTGTTGGTACTATAAGCAGCACCACAAATGTCTATCCACATAAATATGTAAAAAAATACATAAAATAAACAAATATTGTGCATAAGGCACGTTATTCATCAGAACATATTCATAAGTTCAAAAGAAACAAAAGCCTGTATCAGCAATAAAACAAACACAAAGCATGGGAGGTCACTCTTACAATAAACTTACTGACAAGTTACACAACAATTTCTACAAATCATTTGACTACCATTAGTAGAGAAAGGCATATTCTATCACTTTGGTTTTCTCTCCCAAGCAGTATTGAAGAGTTATGATTCAGCATAACTAGTCTATTGAAGAGGAAGTAGTGAACTGAATAATAGATTAGGCTTCTATACCTTATTCACTGAAATTACAAGTTTTAGTAAGGAAAAGAATAAAATTCAAAAATGAATTATTCGGTGATAACTGATTACTTGTAGTTTGGGTCTACTGCTGAACTGAAAATTATACCATTCTAATTTTATCGATCAACATCAACAAAGCACTTATTCTATTGAACTTACATTGTAATTGCATTGGGGAGTCCCCAATAGATGCTCATATAGAAATAAAAATAACATGTATCTGGTAAATACAGCAAACCAACAAAGATATGTCAAGTACTGGATGAAGAAAAAAGTCACAGAAGTTTTAATTCTGAGAATTGCAGTTTAATTCAAGGAGCAAAATACCCATTATGTGATATTAGTAATGGTAATACTTGGCACTAAAGTAAATCACTTTGTTAGTGCTAATAGACTAAGTACTTTAGTGTTATAAGTCATATATGTCTAAATAAGTCTCATAAAAGAACACTGAATTTGTGTTAAAAAATACATTTTTGAATCTTCCCTTTTTTTGATTGGATGCTAGTGACCTGTAATTTTCCATTCTTTCCTCATATGATGCAAACGTCTCAAAGTTCACAGGGATAAGTATTGTTTTGATCTGGCCTAGTTTTGCTCTCCTGGTGATTTAGGGGTGGAATTTGTTTCTGTACTGAATCTCATGAGAACTGATAATTTGAGGATAATTAAAGGGTGAGAAAATAGCACTGTGAGATATGCAGATGGCTGTTCTCAAAATAACAATGGAATATTAGTATTTTCAAATATGTACCTAATTAAAGTTAATTTTCATTTTAACAGTACTAATATAAGTTACTTTTGTTTTGTAGGTTGCTTTTGTTGGGAGTTAAAAATAGTATAATTAATAATGAAAGACTTAGTATTTCAGTTTCTTAAAGCTTTAAGCTATATGTATGTTTGAGTTTAAAAACTGTAGAAATGAACAATTATAAATAAAAGTGGGAAGGATAAGGAGTGATATTATTAAAGTTTACACAATTATCAAGTGCATCAACAGAATAAAAGTATTGAATTTCTTTGTGCTTTATTCTTAAGACAACAAAAAGAGAGGGCACAAGTTCAGAAAAAACATGCTTGGCCCCAATTAATACAGTTTTCATTTTTCTAATAGGAGGATTGGTTTATGGAATAAGCTACTATTAGTAGCAGTGAAAGCTAGCATTTTACATGAATTTTAAAAGAATGAATCAATGATTTCCTGAAAATAAAGATGGAGGAGTAAATTTCTACTTTTACATTGGGTATGTTTGAAAGGACAGCCTTGAAGAACCAAGTACTCTCTTGTTGTCTGTAGGATATGTTAAGACTTCATAATCACATCACATATTTATTTGGACATCTATTAAATGATCGTATTCATCTGGAAAAAGAAATAAAAGTACTAGCAAGATATGAAAGATTCCAAAGTATCGAGGAAAATCATTATATATATGGAGAAGACTCTAAAAAAGAAAGACAAAACCACAAGTAAGAAGCAAACAAAAAAGAATAAACAAACAAGTAAAAAACAAATTAGTAAATTTAATAAAAACTAAAGATAAACATAACAAAACATATTAATAAATTATCAAAATAAAAAAATGGAGTTTCTATATGGAACTCTTGCAATTAACAGAAATCAACAATGAACAAAAAATATAGTTTTACTGATAATAAGATCCATATTAAAGAAACAGTTTTCCCACAGAAAAATATGAAACATACATTTGCCAATTCATTAAATAATTCACAATAACTGATATGATACAATGGATCTTCATTGTATTTAGCATGTATTTCTTGCATGATCATTACTTTCACAGTGTTGTACAAAAATATCACCAATGCAATTGGTGTAAGTTATATATTTTTTAATTTGTTTGTTACCTAGAGGAAACTATGGGTTCATAATAATGTCAAGTTCACGAAGTTAGTAAATACCAAAAACTTCTAGAAAACTCTTAAGGATGTGAAGTCTTGTTCTATGGGTGTGGTGTTCCAGTATATTCAATTGTCCTATATATAATGACATTCTATGAAGAATGTGAGTTTCAAGAATGAATCTGTGTTAGCTATCACACAACTTTGTACAAGTTGACTTTTATGTTGTGTATGACAGTTAAGAATGGCTAAAAACTTAGGCCTACAAGCTACAACAGTGTTAATTTTGTAAAAGATGAAAATAAATTATTTTTGTTTAAGTGGATTTGACATGGAAGGATTTTCACCTGATAATTTTAAAGAACTAAAAAAGAACCACATTACAACACAATCAATATCACAAAACTATGCATTTTGCATTTAGGCACTGGTCCAATATTCACTATCACTAAGGCAGAACAAGCATCTTATAACATTCTAATGCAGGAGTTCCCAAACTAGAGACTGCTGAAAACTGTTATGAGGCCATAGCAAATACACAGTATAGTACTGTTAAAGTACTCTTTATCTATGCATGGGAGATAGTTTTTAGTCAAAAAATACTGTTCAAGAATTTCTTTGACCCTGTGCAAAATGGCAATCTCATGGCATTGGCAAACTACTTGTGTGATAGTATGAAGTATTATGTTTATTACACAAGAAATAGTTAATGAAATAAGTGTAGCAGGGGAAACAAGTTTAACTGAGTGTGAAACCTTTGTATAATATGCAATTGTGAAATACATTCTTCACTGAGTAATTTACTCCTATTACAATAATCTACTGACAATGAGAGAGATCACAATACATTTTCAAACAAACAGGTTTAAAGCAAGTGTTGAATAGAAATGATTCATTGGACAGTGAAATCCAGAAACATTACTTAAGACTTTAAAGCCACTAATGTTAAACTACTTAAGTTAAAACAGTGAGCATAACATTAGGTAGATTTGAATAAATATTTATACTGAGGGAAAAACACTGTCCAACTGATAAAGACTTCTTTTAATTATTAGACTAACATATGATTTTGACTTTAGCATAAATATTATGCCCAATTCTCTTACATTTGCATCAGTGCAAAATCTGAAACATTAACTGATGATTATAACATTAACATTTTAAACAAGTGATCTACTATTGTTTTTGGAGAAAATATATCCATCATCTCCATTTTTGCAAATGTGACATAAACCAGAGCATATTCATAAATGTTATTAATTGTGTACTTTACCCTAGGTTTGTTTGAAGTTAAGTACAAAGCAACACAATGGGCTATCTTTGCTCTGCCCACCACGAGTATTGAAACTCAGACTTTACCTTTTGAAACCACTTTTTAAATAGTTTTATTATTATTTCTTCTAAAAACGCAATTGAAAAAAAAGTACACATGACAATTTTTAATTACTGAAATAACCACTACTATACCAATGATATCCAAGAAAACATGACATAGTAAAATTATATTTTAAAACTAAATTATAAAAAAAAAAAAACACGAAAAATTGCTTTTGCAAAATTAAGATTTCAATTAAGTTGTATCATGTGGGGAAAAAAAATAAAGTTTCCCCATAAAAGGATGCTTGGAATGCTAATTTATAAACACTTTTCATGCTTTATGAACAGCATCAACACAGATGGCTGATATAAATTTACACTAGCCATAATTTTTTGTGACATTTAATTAAAAATGCATATAACAGTGCATTCTTTGTAAAAACAAGGCAGAATATATACCTCATCAGTTTGTATGTTTCAATTTCAACACATTTCTTAGTTAATGTATTCTTACTGTACACTAGCACAATTATTGGATATTCATAGATTTGTATCTTTCATTAAATTTACTCAAAACAAACAAACAAAAACAGAAGAAGAAATTAAATTACTAACAAATGGCTTTCCATTTGATGTATCTTCATCAACAATAATTTTTTCTCCCATTTTGATATCAAGAACTGGGAAGCATTCCACACTTTTCTCACTACTTTCATCACAAATATATTTTTCTTCAACATTAGCTTTCACTACTGATCTCCACAGAAGGCAAGATTTCTCTTCCAAACTGAACTCTTCCCATTCTTCGTTGAACTCTTCCATCACCGTTTTCATGTCATCCATCATCCTGGTAGCTATGGGATTCATGGTAGAAAAATATTCTTCCACCTTTTCTTTCACTGAAGCCATTGTAAGCCAGTTATACGTAGTACAAAAATATAAAGCCTAAACTTTAAAGATAGTTCAAATTCAACTCACAAATACTTCCGAACAATGCTACATGCCCATTTTAAAACTATAAAAACCCCAGCATGCAATATTAATTACAGATTATAACCTGACAATGCTTCGTTGATTTACAACGTAATCAAGAAAATCATCTTAGCGCTACCTAGTGTAATATATTATTATTTATCAGATATATAACAGGGGAAAAAATAGCTTTCTCCTCCTCTAGAAAACAAACAAATAAAACGCATATATATATTAAACGTCTTTCTTTTCAGTACGTAATGTAATAAGTCTTCGCCTAAGTGCTACTTGATGTACGCTTAAGGTCGAAAATGGTCGGCTAATATTTTTTATGTGTGAGGGTTTCTGAAGATGATAAAGTATTTTCCTTTTATATACTTTGCATGCAATGTTTGTTAATTAATATCCCTCCTTTCCTGTGGCTTAGCGGTTAGTTTACAGGCTTAAGACGCTAAATATCGGGTTTCGATACTCGTAGTGGCCAGAGCATAGATAGCCTTTGTTAAAATCAACAGATTGGCATTTTTAAATATTACCATTTGAATCGAAAATATGACTGCAGGTCAGAGCCTTTTTTAAGGGTAGCCATTTACTGTTTACAAGTAAGAAGCCCATTATAAGGTAGAGAAAAAAATCGTGATTTATCAAAAAATCATTGTCGCCCAGGAGTATAAAATTCTATTTACTTGGCGACAAATTTTCTTGACTAGGTGACATTTGTGTCACCCAGTCACTATATTGAAAAGTACTCTGCTGCAGGTTGAAAAATATAATTTATTTACATGTTACTAGTGTCTGTCTATATGATTACTGTTTCTCCTATTTCATCGTTAAGTAATATTTTATGATTAGTTATTATTGTTACGACAACGCAGGTCACGTGACTCTCGTATCACGCCACTTCCTTCTCGAACCTTCATGAAATTCGGGAGACTACTAGATTGGGGTAGTCTTGTATATATATATAAGACCGGCGAAGAAGCAACGTAAGGTAATGAGTAAGAATATTGTTGAGCACGTGAGAAGTTCGTTGTGAATTATAGCGTTTGTTATAGAGCGACTGTGGAAATTAAGTGTATCGCAAAGTTGTATTCACAAAGAATAAACCAGTTTTATTTAAGAAAGGACTTGTATCGGTAAAATTCTTCGGGAAGAATTTTTACGGAAAATTAACTAACGAACGGAGACGTAACATTATTCTGTGGAGTGGTTCGTGTCATATATCATCAAGTATTTTCTCTTGGTAATATTTTTTTTTTTTTGCCTTGCTCCAAGTCATCATGTTTTATAATCCTGGTTTGAAATCGATAAATGAAAGCTCCGCTTCTATATGGTGTTAAATTAGTCTTTCGGGACTTAATATTTTAACTGTAAAGTTACGTAAATTATACAATAAATGCAAACATGTCTATGATAGGGCCACTATTTTTTGAATTAACTTCGAAAGAAAATAAAGGACAAATTAATATTTTATAACGAGTAACAGCTTCTAGTTTTCGCCTTCTATTATTGTGATAGATTCCTGTTCAAATCTAGCTCCATGGTGCGAAAACTGTGGGGCGCACAATTATGACTATAGGAGCATATAAATTAAATCTTAAAGTACAAATTTAAAAATAAAGAAGCTTTTAAAACGACCCTAGAAATATTATTACTATTAACTAACATAGTATTAATAATTAATATGGGAAACACATGTTAGAAAGAGAGATGCCATAAAAAAGTTTGTGGACCATTTATCTAGTTGCTGTTTTTTAGCGCAAAGCTACACAATGGATTATTTGTGCTCTGTTTACCGCGGGGATTCGATGCCTAGATTTTAGTGTTGTAAGCCCGGAATCTTATCGTTGTCCCACAGGGAGAGCCAGACATAATTGAGAGTAACTGAACTGTAGTTCAAGACAAGGAGGATGTTACATCTTATTAAGACAATAATTACTTGGACCAACACCTCTCTTGTGGTGATTTAAAGTGAAAACTCATTTCCCAACAAGTATTAGATAGACACGAAAGTAAAAGCAAATTCGATCAGGAAATATAAGTGAATAGTCTTTATCTGATAGCTTGACTGAGTTTTCGTAGTGTGTGAAATAATGAGATAGGACAAAGTTAATAAAAATGGGAAAATCTTTATTATCAGACAAAAAAAAGGACAATATAGTTACTCCACAAACAAAATCACAGTTGCTTCTACTGGAGTTTGCATAGCTCCGCAGCTTTCTTTCTCTCGGGAGAAGCTTCCATGGGACTAAACACGTTGATTTCCAAATATAACTTTACTTGTCGATCTCCAGGTTGAAATTGAACTAAGAAAACACGTCTGAATTAAATAGATGCACTCGGTTTCTTTGACTAGTCGATAGTTTTACCTCGTTACTTTTGTTCTCTCTCAGCATTGGTCGGCTGTAACATTCAGACAACGAAGGATCCTTTCAATCCGGATGCTATATGTAACTGCAATATCCTTTTGGGCAGCATAGACAGTGTGTATTATTGAAAACAAAGAAACAAAATATCTAGAACGAGGCAATCTGATCGACTTTCTGAACCACGTGTTTAGCTTAAAACTGCATGCAAACTAAATTAACAGAAAAGTTAAAAAATTCTTATATCACTAAAGCAGGTAGAAAACGTATACTATGCCTGAATATCACACTTTGGCTCCCTTTTCTGTTTCGGGTTTGACCTGAAGTCAATAATTAAATTCAACTTTAAAACGAATAACCATTAAACTCGTGACATTGTCAAGGAGCAGAGCACGTTAACTTTACTTTGTTCCTAAAAACACATTCACTCCGTACGGACGTCACAAACCTTTTAACAATAAATCACACTAACTACAATACTTTGCTTATCAGTTTAAATGAAACAATGGCTTGAAATAATAATTAGTAAAACTTTAACTAGAAAATATATCTATAAAAGCTTTGAGCGAAGTTAAAAACCCAATATTTTAATTACACTTTTAAAACACAAGAAAACAATACACTGTGATAACAAGAAAAGGCATTTTATCTTTTATTATGATGTAAACTCCTTTTACAAGCTGGCGAAGCATGATTACAACTACACTCGTCATAAGACATTGTTATTAGGCCAATTTAAATTTTGAACATTACATCCTTTATCTCGTTCCTAATGGATTTTCAAGAATTAGAATAGTGCGTAATAATAACATTCTAATCATCACACTATATTCGTTATATCCATTGCCGGCAATGCATTTTGCTCAATCAAGAGCTCTTCAAGCCGGCTGGGGTACAACAAAAACAGTAGTGGTCAGAACACTATTGACATAAGTCATTTATTTCGACATGAGCGAGTTGTGGCACATTAAGTATAAATAAGGCATACACTTTGACAAAAAAACAACAACAACTAAATCCCTATTATTTCATACATACTAGCATGCATCAGGGAGTGAAAGTACTGTCATTCTTTGCAGAAAAAGATATATATACACACACACACACATAAAATACCTCAAATCCAGAACAGAAAGCCATTAGGCCACTATCTTTCATTCACATTCATAAGTATGAAAGGCAGAGGGCACTATAAATATACACAAAATGTTCACTTACTCCAAAAAGCCGTCAAGGCTTCACTCTGCTTACCTTAACCTCACCAGCAGAACTTCCAATGTTGCCATTGTTTTTTGATTGGTGGTTGTGAATACCTTGATGTTGGTTTGGGAACCTATCAGATTCTGCTCAGCTTCATGTAGCCTGTCTTGCATGCACCATACCTCTTCGTATTTCAGTGAAGGAGTGACCCTTTGTCTCAGCCAATCTTCTTCCTTGTTATAGAAAGCCCAGGCCTCTATTCACTTGACTTTCATTTCCTGTCACTGGAGCTTGAGCATTGGAATCTTCTCTAATTTGAACAGGTTCATGATTACATCAGAGGGCTTGGAAGAGAGTTCTACTCTCAGCTTCTTCTGGGACGTCTCCCGTGGTCATTGGTCGGTGGTGCCTCACTCACTCACTATAGCAGCATACCTCTTATGGGACTCTATGAATGGTTCAGCCCTCGAGGTGGAGGCTCTCTAATTTACGACTGGAACTGTCGGATGAGCCATCTGGCTTGTCTACATTGCCGTTACCCTAATTTATCTTTCTGACGTTTCAGCCTTGCCCTGAGGAATCCATCTTCACAGTCAGTGTAGAAAAAAACTAACAGAAACTAGATCAAGAGTTGGACGAGTCAGGAACACTGCTTCACTAACTGATTGTGGCTGAAACTTGATCTTAAATATTGAAATTCTGAATTTCAATGCAAATGTTGATTGAGTTCTAATTTGTCAAAGGTTCAGCCGAGTGCATAGGTTAAAGGAAATGAAATATTTAATTATGATTGTGAACAGATAGTGGTCATGCAAAATGTCTATAGGCTTAATGTGTATTTATGCCCATCCTCTTCCGTATAACATATCTTCAAGGAGCTTGAGGACGTCCAGATCCTCTAGTTTACGTGGATTTTTATTTGACCAGATATTTGCATACACGCCAAATAAACGAAAAATCTTATATCACTAAAGCAGGTAGAAAACATATGATGTGCCGGCATATCACACTTCCCCTTCTTTTCGCCTGGTTATTAGCCCTTTCGCTGAGAAAAACATCGACTGTTTTTAATAAGATAATAATGAAATATATGCCATACAAGGAATTTGTTTAATTAAACTGTATCTTAAATCCACCAATTTTTGGTGCTATGTGTAAAGATATGAAGCTCCCAGATAGTTGGACATTTTTTTTTAACTCTACTAGTGTTTGGATATAGGCGCCTACTTATACTTTTTCTGAGTGGGGCCAAAATTAGCATTGTAACTTGGTTATATAATTCTGAAGTACTATAAATTATGCATATTTTAAATTTTGACCAGAAACTAAAATTAAACCATGTGTAAAGCAACTATTAAACTTCAACTGGTTTACCTTATCAGTAGGTAGCAGTATTATAAGAAAATATAATAATATTGCACTTGTCACATTTATCCAACAATGTTTATTATAACTTTGTACTATTGTCGAAAATAAAAATAAAAGTCGATCTGACTACTCGCCGTTTTGTTTATACTTCCCAACTAAACTTCCACTGATAAAGTCTTCTG